AAGGTAACGGATTGGATAGAAAGAGACTTTAAACAGAAGACCATCATCGACACACAGGGAAGAATAAGCCAGGCAAATCCAAGCCGTAAGGATAACAGGAGAAACATCATGAGAAAGAGAATGGTACTACTAAACAAACTGGAATATTGATGTCCACATGCCCAAAGGAGGTGGAAAAAAATCTGTAAAGAGAGATGATACAGGGAACAGGATGACATGAGTTGAAAGGGAGGAAGTGTAAAGGCATGGATGACAACAGTGAGTTTCCATACAGGGAGGGCAGTAGGACATGTACAGCAAAGGTGAAAGGAACAAAAACAATAGCGTGAGAACCAGAGAAGTGAAGACATGGTGAAATCTTGTGAAATGGAAAGTGGCTGACCAGGCCACACGATCACCAGTGAAGGTGGATATCATAAGCCCCTTGTCAAAAAGCCAGGTAAGTAAGGAAGTCAGGTGCAGGAAAGTAAGACGAGATGGAGGAAAAACCATGATGAGAAGATCAACATTGGTATATATACCACTTACATTAGTAAACTGACATGGACGAAGGGTGAAAGGAATGGACAATCCAGCCCATTTGGCAAGAGACCAGACAAAAACTAAAAGTGAAGACAGAGCATTGGAAGGGAAGAATGTAGCATGTCCAACTGAGGTTGTCTTAGGGGGGGTGGGTAGAGGAAGAGGTGTCAGAAGGAGCAGGCACAGAAATGGAAGCCACAGCAGTGACGGCCACAATGGTGCTACCAAGAGAACGTTACACAGAGTGGTTTGAATGACTGAAGGGACATAAGGAAGAAAATGGATGGGTGGATAGGCATAGAGGGAACAGCCCTCCCAATCCTGAATGAAGGCATTGACAGCTACAGCCAAAGAATGTAGAAACGAGGACCAAAACAAGGGTAGCTTGGAATTCAGGTGGATGACAAATGCACCAGTTCCAGAATATCCCACTAGGAACACAACCAGCCAAACACCTGTTGGTCAAGATACCACTATGTGATAAACAACCTGCAACCAGATTCAGGAAACCGGTATATGACATACCAACAATCGAATGTGATGGCTGTGAAACCAATATAGGGGGTCCAATATGTGGAAACAAAGAGACCTTGACTGAGTGCCCCCTTTGCTGAGTGAAGAAAATGCCAGGATGCTGGGGAGATGGGAATGTTGAGGTAAGCATCCAAAATATCAAACTTCACCGAATAAGTACCAGAAAGGAAAGCCCATCGAAGAGATAGGTAGGACTCCACGGTGAATCAAGGAAAGTCTAGAAAGCAGTTCAAGAAGAGAGATGAATGACAGAGAACCAGTTCCCAATCTTGTGGAGCTTTGAACAAACAAGAAAAAAAGGCTGTGAAAGATCCTCCTGTTCTATAGCACCCTTGTGAAGAAGATCTAGAACCACATCAGAAAGATGATGGCTGGAAAGGGGATCCAGAGGAAGGAGGAAAGGATATGGGATGAGAGGACAAAGAGGAGAGGAACTGAAATGAAGAACAAGCTCTACAGAAAGAATCCTTAGAACCCATGGGTCTATGGTAAAGGAATCCCAAACAGTGGCAAAGCAAAAAAGCCTGGCTCCCACCACACCTACACAGCCAACGGAATTGCCAAAGACATCAGTGAAGAAACTGGCAAGTAATCCCAGAGACCCATGTAGCAGGCACTGGTAAAGGAGAGGAAGGAAGGGAATGGGACACAGGAACAGGTTCAAAAGGAAGTTGAGACAGATGGGAACCAATGAGGAAAGGGAATGAAGAAGGGAAGATAACAGAATGTTGATACAGGAAAAAACAGAGGTGGGAAAGAGGTATTTGGACCTGAACCCCACAGAGGCAAAAGAGTATCCAACTACTGGGAGTCTAAAAAAAGGACACGCAGACTTATGTAAAGTCATATAATGTGGGGGTCAAGGCATACTTGGCCCCAAACATTATTGGTTCAAAAACCTCTAGGCACGGACCCCAATATCCTGTAAGGGGGAAAGAACAATATTGACTCAAAGGTGTCTCACTCAAAATGGTAGGAAAAGACAGACAAAATGTAACATACCTGGAAAGGAGGAGGAGGCCTGGGTGATGCCACTGGAGCTAAATATAATCAAGTGGCACAGGAAGGGGAGGAAATAGGCTGTCAGAATTCACATCCTTGTGTTCAGGTACCTCTGAACAAGGCATGAGAAAAGAATTTGCAGGCAACTCAAGAGCCCTCATGAAGGTAGCCAACTCTCGATAAACCAAGTTCGTAACATCTCCCACTGACAATTGAGAACCCAAAGCCACAGTATATGAATTTTTATATATTTTTTTAGTAAGGTTAACTGTAGTAAATACAGCAGTGGCAGCAATAGTAACGTGATAATCTGAATGCATTTCAACTAAAAGTGGAAGGTCCAAAGTGAAAAGTCCAAATGGAGAGCTCCAAAGAATTACGCATTGAAATAAACGACACATAATGCTACCATGTACAAACTAAAATTTCAAAACACAAATGTAGCAAATGTAAGTAAAAACTAGGCTCCCATAAAAAACAATGAACTGAGTAAGAATTCCGTAATGTAATGCACAAGAAAAAAACACATATTAACACCATGATTGCCAATCAAGAAGTGATTCTTGACTAATCTGCATAGAGGGAGTCAACTGTACTGGTAGATGTGTTGCACTATTATTGGTGGAGGATTCTTGCAAGCTATCAAGCAGCTGCTTCATGTGAAAAGACATGAGGGTAAGTGGGAATATCAAGGCTAGTGGTGAGAAAACATTTGCACATATAGAGGGCTGTACAAGTTAGAAAAGCTATTCTGTAAGTGGAGGCACAATCGGCATCAGCTGTTTACTGACAGAATGAAAAACAACAAGGAAGAAGAAATTAAAATTAATGAAAAAGAATATAAATTAAAGCCTCAAAAATGGCAATGAAAATATAATTCAACAGTTGTATTCATTTACCTAATAATAAAATAGGTTGTATCTAAATAAACTTATTAAGATATATTAAAAATATTGCAAAATATTTTCCCCATTTGAGAAAATTTACTTATACTTCAGAACAATAATGCCTCCTTGTTAATGAAACATATGACAACAAGTTGTTGGGAGAATAACAATACATTTTTCCAAAATAATTAATATATTCTTATTCAAAACTTAAAATTCACTGGTGAAATAAAGAAAAATAAGTGAATGCATTAAAAGGAGGTGTACAAGTTGAGTGATTAGTCAGTCTAGTCAATTAGCAATCACATGGATGGTTACTTTGATACTGTTCTGTGAAATGTAGTGTTGAAAATCAGCTTTTGTTTACTGATTTTTTAAATTTAATGTTTACCATTTTTGTTCAAGTTATAAAATTATGTCTTTATCCATCTTTATAATTAGTTTTAACATGATTGTTTAAGTATTGTGGTACAGCATGGTATCATGTTTTTTCAACTCGCTTATTTAATATCTCCATCTTTTAATTCTCTGTTTTTCTTTCAATTCAGTTTGAGCAAAGAAAGTTATTCTTGTAAACACATTTTAATTTTGCTTCTTTTAAGCTGTGTCCAAGGACCTCATTGCTAATTGGCAATTAACCAAGTTTCTTGCAAGAAAAATAGGTCACAACAATTAGAAATAGAAAACTTTTTTCAATCAGAGAATTGGCTATTGGTCCAGCAATTCCCCAATACACTCAATTCAAAATAAACAAAGGTCATATAACAGCATTTCAGGTGCAAACCTAGCTAAAGTTGTTACTGCATTTTCTAGTATAATATCAAGGTTCTCCCCTTGCTGTGAAAGATTTTACTCAATTTTTAAACTTAGATTTGAACTATAACTTTACTTTTGATGTTGATTATATAATGGAAATGAACTAAGATTTTGGTAAGATTTGTCAATTGAATTTTCTTTAGAGCTATTGTGACATTTTATTATAACATTAGCATTGTTTTAGTTTTAGTATTTTAACTCATGGTGCAAGACTTGCTATATTTTAACTTAACATGTGGTTTAACTTAGATTTTACATTGCTTACAGAGGAAGCACACACACTGAATTGGCCAGAGATAGAGCTCACTAAGGTTTCACTTCCTTTCTCTTTCTAGCCAGTTCAACACATCTACCACAGTTACACTTACTATTATTGTTTTATAATGTGGTCGTGACTTTGTATTATTAAAGATTATTATTGTGCATCTTCTGTGACTTGACTTTTTCTTCCTGAAGAACCCAGTTAGAGATCAGAGAGATAACAGTCATACACTTTAGTTTGGTACCCTTCAAACCTCCAGTTAACAGACCCTAAATATCTACTTTGTGTGAAAGCCATATAATGGAAAGTACCACAGTATACTACAACATCTGATATTTCTGATTTACAATCTTAGAAACTGTCACTTGACCAAATAGTTCATTAAGTATTAAACCCAATTTACTGAAAATTCTAATGACAATAGATGCATTGACAACTGTAAAACTGAGTTCAGCAAAAATGAACACAGGAAAAGCAAACAGAAAGGAGAACTAGGTTAGCCATTCATTTTTACGTTGAAACAAATGTTCCATTAAAGGTTTCATCATAAGTTTTATATCATCACAACTATTTTTTTTTTTTTTTGGTGGATTTTACTAATGATAACAGTCACCTAAAGTCTTCTGATTAGTGTATATTTCCAGTTTCTGGTGACAATTTGGTCAGATATTTATAACATTAAGATGCTGTTTATGCCCTACAAGAATTTTTATCTAGGTGAATGTGTTATGGTATATCTTATAATGTGACAGGCATTTATAACAGTTGTGAATATGGTATTTCTCATAAACTGAAATGTATTTTTTACCTATACCAATATGCTACAGTAACTGTAATGACATAAGCATTCCTACATACTTGAATGTATTAAAATGCCCTTTTTTATGGTAATTTTCAAAAATTTTGAATTTAAACGAATATAATCAATTTCTTTTCTTATCAACAAATGAAACCAGTAAACAAAAAATAATCCTTACCACGAATTACTTTGCTGTATGTTCCTTGAATAGGGTCAAACGATACCATGCATGGCCACCAGGGGTGTCCAGATATCTTAGACCACAAAAGATCTCCAACTAGCCACTCGGCTGGTATTTTCCTCTCATCTTCTAATGTAAATAATAAGTTTTGTTGTTTAAAAACACTGTTGTCCAAACAATCATTAGGATATAGAGGCAATAATATGGTGGAAGTATTATTTTTTTCCAATTTGATGTTCTGGTGCAAATTTGACAGTCTACTTTTTTTCTTGATTAAACTGGATGGAACTTCAGAATTATCATTTTCTGCAAGTCTATTATTAACATGATTCACATATGAGCTTTCTTTGGTTTTGGAATGTTCCATTGAAATAGTGCTTGTACAAGAATGTTTAGCAGACTGACACAATTTTGAAGAATCTGTTTTAACACTTCGCTTTCTCACTAACGGGATTGCTTCCATGTCAGGACTGAGTTCTCTTTTTTTGTGCAAACGACCATATCTACTACGAGTTTGAGCTTCTAACCTACTAGTTGCTGTCTGAGTATTACCACTTTGAATCAATGAGTCTTCAGTACTTTGTTTACCAAAGGTCTTAAACTTTGTATTTAAAAATGAATTTTCTGACAGTTGGAAGTTATGGGTAGCCACAGGTGATTCACCTTTTAGATACAGCAAGTGGTTATTAAGATTCACACTGTTCACTCTAAAGCTCTCTAGCCTGATAGTGGAATTGTGTTCTTCATCAAAATGGATATTAATACAAGGAACTGGTGATTCTTTTGCCATATCAGACTCAATTACATTTATGTGGTTTTCTTTTTCAGGAATAACACTACCTTTTTCAGGAGAATATTTAGTTTTATGTGACTTAGTTCCAGAAATTTTCTCTTGAATTGCTGTATTTTGTTCTATAGTGTTTTTCTGTAAATCTTTTGCAGCATTTAGTCGAGCATCAATACCATTTAACAATCTTCTTTTCTTTTCAAGTTCGTTTTTTATTATTTTTGGTGGCCTTCCACGTTTTCCAAGTTTCCATTTTCCATTATAAGCAAGTATAATGCTTTCTTTTAATTCAGCCAATATGCTTTCCGTTTGAACCTGACAGTTAGGTTCAAGTTTTGCTGCTTGTAACTCATCCATAAGGCTACTGCTTACCATTCCATTGATACTTAGTTCCTTATTTTCAAATGTTTTATTTCCAATGCCTGAAAACATAAAACTTGAACTGACATTATCATCATTATGTACAGCATCTAGCTTTGTTTTTTCCTCAATGGATGTCTCCTCATTAATCACCAACGGAACTTCTTGGAGGCTGGATTGTGTTACTAAAGAGCCTTCATCACCAACTTCTACTGATAAAGAATGAGTGTCTATTGCCAATGCAGCCATATCTTGACCTGCAGATAAGGTAAAAATTCAGAATGTTCTCTGGAAATATTTCAATAGCAAAAATGCCAACAAAATGTGACTGTGATACAGAATGACATAATTACATAACATTATCTGTTTTGATTACACAATGCTTAACAATATTTTGTTAAAAATTAGAAACTGAATCACATAAACAGTACTGTCATTGTGTTTTCAAAAACGTTACAAAGAATCTTAAAAAAAATAAAAAATGAAGTACATAAAGTAGAAAAGTCCTATCAACTTATCACATATACAACTGCTGTAAGGTAAATTACCTTTTGGAAGACCTTGTCCTAAGGAAGTTGATTGAGAATTGTCTATTGATGCATCTCAACCTATTCCTGTACTGGAATAATATTATTACTAATAATGTGTCATTACATTTAATATTTTATACAAGGCTAAAAATTATGCGATAAAAATAATTGGACAAAACTTTGACAAGAATAAGACACGAAGTGCAAAAAATACAAAAGTATGAAAAAAGTATAGTGTTAGATATACACAACTGTTTCAGTTTACGTTTGATGCAAGCTTTATGATTTAGATAGTTCATATAGTGCAGGTGTCTAATTAGTTATTTTTAGAAGCAATATTTTATGGTAAGTTTGTCTATGAATCATACATTGTGTAATTCAATTGTTATGAATTACCAACTGTTTATTGCATAATATTGTTAGAACTTTCTGAGTTTCTCATTGGTTTAATTGAGTATTATTGCATCAGAATATTTAGTATTATTGTGTGGAATATTATAGACTCTGTCAGAGAATAAGTATGCATCTAAAAATCATTATTTAGTGCAAGTTCTAGACTGCATGATCAGAAGCTTAGTGATAAAGAGTGCATTGTGGTGATTTTTAAAGAGAAATTATCACAGACTAACAAAGTAGAGAAGAATAATTCATCTTGTCAATTGTGTTCTAAAGTAACTGAGCCAGCCTATATGGACTTTGACAAAAAAAAAGAAACATATATTTAAAGCTCTGGATACAACTCTAGTAGCCAACAGTGTAACAAACATTTGTATATATGTTTGATTTCTTCTTAATATATTATTTTTACAACAAGTGGACTATGTTGCTGTTTGTTTATTGTAGAAATTTATTGCCAACAAGTCACACACACCTACTGTAAAGAATCTGGCCTTACAAAACCTGACATACCATTATTTTATATGAAGTGGCAGTACTGCTAAAGTATATCATTGTATATCAATTTGACAATCAGTTATTAAACAATAAGGATGATAACAAGGATTAACCCAGACAAAAATGTTTAAGTTGATAAATGTTCAGTTTCACTGACCATCCTTTACATATGATGACAAATTATTATATCTTCTAAATAACTTAAATATTTAATAAGAAAGCATTACCCAAAGGTCTCTACAATATAAAACTGAAGTACGACTTACTAGTACTTTAACAACTTTACAACTGTAAAATTATTTATTCTCAAGATATAAAGTGCCAAAAATAATTTTCAGGTACATCCCTTTGAACTAAAAAAACTTGTAATATTCAGTATAAAACAGAGTAATACATTATCCCCTATTATAAAGCATTTTATATCATAAAAATACTATAAAAATCTTCATACCAATACTCCATACCTGTGCTTGCGTGTTTGTGAAGCTATAGTTCTAACTACACTTTTCAAAAAACAAACATATCATACAATTGTGCTAATATAAAACTAAGGTAAACATATGTGTCAAATACTATAATGAAACTATTAAAATGGTAAAAAAAAAACAAGTAACTTCATTTATCATTCCCAGTACATTATCTGTTTTCCTTTTCAATTTTTTATTATAAAAATTTTGTAACTCCTTATTGATCATTTTTAGTTTTTAAAAAGTGCTTATGTAGCACTGAGGTTTTTTATAGCCCACTCAGGTTATAGCATTTAAGAATTCTAGAGAAGCAACATTATTTCATACAAACTTCTTTTCCTTTTTTATTTATTCACCATTAGAATTCAACCTGTCTTTGTGTAACAGCTGACAGAATGATTCTGCAGACACCAAATATATTTATAATATATATATAAGTGAAATGATAACCTATTACTTTACTTAAGAGGAAAAGACAAGGAAGGGTTTATTCCATTAACAAAACTTATGTGATAAACCTCTGAAGGTTTTTAATTATTTATAGTTTCTTAAAAACTACATTTGTCTTTTTGACACAATTCGTATGATTAAGACTTCAATCGATAAAACATTAATAGGTGGGGAAAGTCTTTTATTAGATGATACTAAAAAATCGTGTGGTACTGATGTGATTTGGTAGCTACACAGTTTTTATCTAAAGACCGTGTGATATTGATGTGATTTGGTAGCTACATAGTTTTATCTAAAGATCGTGTGATATTGATGTGATTTGGTAGCTACACAGTTTTTATCTAAAGATCGTGTGGTATTGATGTGATTTGGTAGCTACACAGTTTTTGTCTAAAGACCGTGTGGTATTGATGTGATTTGGTAGCTACACAGTTTTTATCCATATTACCTTTTACAAAAAAAATCATGTTTTCAACAAGCTTAGTATTCTCAGTAAATCTCTGGCCCTGATAAAATTTATTCTTAGTAAATAAAAAGGCTAAGTAACAAGAAGTCTTTAACACAGGTAAAATTCCTGATTATTAAAATGAAGCCAATGTGAAATGTATTTTTGAAAATAAGGAGTCGAGGGAAGACCCAGCTAAACTGCATCTCAATAAGCTTGATCAGTTGTCAGAGGTCACTTGGGAAAGATTATAATTTTATGAAAAACTCTTAGCAAGGTTTGCAAAGGGGTTTTCATGTTTAATGTGTTGGAAATTCTTTTGGTAAGTATTTTGCTTGTAAAGGTGAGAGCACCTTGTTGATGTGAAGAGTTGGGTGATTAACTCTACTACCTATGAGCATTACTTATATTTATTTCTATCCAAGTAATAGAAATATTGGAATTATGAATTATAATTATTATTTTCGATCAATTCAAGGTTCTTCACTTTAATCAGTTAGTGTTAGAATCAAAAAAGAATCAAGTAATCAAAATTAGTGTTTCCAAGTACTACTACTTTCAGTTATTTTAACTATGTCTCATGTGAGAATAATCAATTAGTTAAATGTAATCAATTAATGAATCAACAACTGATTAGCAAACTCCACTAATCCCCAACTCTAATGATGCATATCTAGACTTCCCACAAGCTTTTGATAAGGTTCTGATAGGTTAATTGACAAGTTAGATTTTCACAGAACCATGATATACTCAGAGAAGTTAAAACTCTCTAACTGAGTGTTCATTCACAGTGAATGGTCTTATAATTTTCCTTTATTGAAAATATATTTCTGCTAGGTACTTAACTCCTCCCACATAAATAGCTATTCTTGTTCAGTGCTGCCCTCTATATGCAAACCTTCTTAGCATACACCATGATCAATGTGGTTAAACTGCATCTTGCATGTAAATCATGATGCAACAACCCTCCACCAACAGGAGTGTAACACACTCTCCTGATGCATGTGATTTCCTCTATTTGATTCTACCAAAATATCACTTTCAGTTTTGGCAGAAAATAGAAGCACTGGCTTTCAGTGGGGAGGAAGGGTGGGAAGTGTGAGAGGAGGTAAGTACCTACCAGAAATACATTGTCAGTATAGGAAAACTATAACTTCCAATATGGTACATTACCTCCACTCCTATAAATAGCTAGAATCCTAAATTGAATAGGTGGAAAGAAAGAAAGAAGCATCCTTCAAAACCATCCGAAGAACACCCTAAAAGGTGAGATCCTCGCAGTAGAGGATCATATATGGGAGACCGCACCACTTCTGTACCAGGTATACTCCATGCCCAATGTGGAAAGAGGTGACGTAGACATGGATGGAAATAGGGAGAGAACAATGGTTGAACAGGGATCCGAACCACCCGATATCTGATTCTCAATCCCACAGATGATAATAGTGTGGGTGAGAGTAAAAAGAATGTGCTCCTAGGTGTAGAGTGGCCAGGGCGTAAAGGGCCATACACGGCAAGTCAACTGCTCCAAAACCCAGTCACTGGGACTATAACTATGGGGGGGGGGGAGGGGTAGGAAAGAGGATCATACTGCCACAAAGTCACCTAACTACAATCGAAAACCCAGCTATTTGGGTGGGAGTAGGAAAGAGGATCATACTATCTTCACCTCAATTTCAGCAGACCACAGGAAAATATCATATCCATCGATATGTGAACAGGTCATATGACAGCAAAGTGATAAAATGTTTGACCAATCCAGGAACCCGATATCCAGATGATCAAAATAATAAAGATGTCCCTGTATTGTGAAATATCCCACTCCAAACCAATCAGAAAGGAACCACCCTCAGCACAGTATCATCCTCGGTATATGGAAATCTTCGAAGGGTAGCACAAGAGGAAGAACTGCAGCAACCTACATGTTCATACACTGTGACCCACAACATGTTAGTAATGACCACAAGGCCAACTGAGTGAGGGAACACAGTTACCAGTAATACGTGTGTGAGAACGTTTGTTGATTGGTCCTTCTCTGAATCCAAAACCCAGCCACTGGGAACTGACATCCATGTGGGGGTAGGATGATAGTTCACTCCAAAGCTACAACATCCCCTCGGATAGACCCATTCAGATATAGATCATCAAATTGGAGGCCATTTCATCATCTACACCAGCAGAACATCACCGCCCTACTCTTAACTGAATGGATTCATTATTTTTCATATCTTAAATCACTATCACATTCAGGAGGATACCTCGGTGGTCCCCCACCCCAACGGTTTGGAACTGGGAAGTGGTAAGGACTCCCGTACTCCACTGGAGGAAAGTGCAATCAGAAAGACCTGACACAGAGTGGCAAGGATGAACGAAATCATCCAGGAAAGATGACAACTGGGATGAGAAAACAAACGTATAAACTGGTCCCAATCCTGTCTCAACGCATTGACAGCCAAGGCAAGTGGATGAGG